ATCTTCGGCAATCCACTTTTGGACTCCTCCAGTCTGCACGACTGGGGAATCGGGCTCATCATCAATCTCGATGACCCCCCAATGCATGCAACCATTTTTACCTGAAAAGTAGAGGAAAACAGTGAATTTGACATGTAAGATAAAATCCACCATTCCACTGAAAATCAAGTGAAAGGGCAAAGAAAGGGGAACAGAGCCACCGAACAGGCCTCCCCGACCGAAAACACCCAACTGAGGTACTCATCTAAAGGAAGTTCCTCTTCGACTACGAGACCTCATCCCGCCAGAGGCTCTTGATCGTGCATGGTCTCTCCGGTCAAACCGAAGACCCTCTTGGGCGAATATTAACTCACCACGTCAACGAGAGGACGAGGATAGGCCTCCCAAGACATTCATCACAGGTCCTCAGGACCTTTATCAGGTCCTCGAGGCCTTCATCTAACGTCCTCAGGGCCTTCATCCCAGGTCCTCGGGACCTCATCAGGTTCTCGAGCCCTTCATTTAACATCCTAGGGGCCTTTATCCCAAGTCCTCGAGACCTTCATCAGGTTCTCAAGGCCTTCATCTTATGTCTTCGGGGTATTCATCGCAGGTCCCCGAGGTCTTCATCGAAACATCATAAATTTGAAGAAGTTCCGGCGTATTTGCCGAAAACTTCATAGTTCCCTTGGGAACTTCATCAATTCACTGGAGAAACCTCCAGAAAATGCATATAACTAAATTAACGAAGCCAGAAACTTACTTGGACACGATGGTTTTGAGCGGCGAGCCGGTGGCGGACGAATGGAAAGTTCTGAGCAGAAGGGGGAAAGCGTGCGAATGAAACGGACTCGCCCCCTATTTATAATCCTAGCACGAAACTCGAGGCGTCCCAAGGCACTTGAGCGCCCCTAATCATAGCCATCCTAGACATTAATTTCCCTGACACGTGGCGCTGCCAGGCACCTTACACAACCGTTCAGATTCCTCTCCTACCCGAAACCATACGTGTCCGTCCCCTTCATCGTCTCCCACGCAGACGGGCCCGCGGTCACATCACCCCGTCGGAGAAGCTCGATACCTGGCCGTATCCACCATCCTCAGTGTTGGACCCGAACCTTAAGTTATTACTCCTCCACTTCGGAGCAAGGACTTGGAGGGCTCTTGTTCTGGACTGAGGCACACCCAACCCAATCCTACATTAGGGAGGCCTAACAAGGCCCAATCCTCCATCCTGTCGAGCACGCCCCAGTACATTCAGTAGTCAGACATACCACTACCTAGCACGGGGAGGATTCACGTGTCTCCCCCCACATTCTCCATGTGTTCCCCACGCAGGGACACGTCATCAGAAAACTACCCGTGTCCTAAAGAACCAGTCTTCCACCTTCTGAGGATCACAAGACAGTTGGACCAGGGTGAAGACCACGTGCTTGTCTTCCCTACGCCACGTAGACTTTGACAGTTACTCGTGATGGGCTTGACAATCCAGCCCAATGCACTGTAACCATTGGCCTAGCGTTGAGGCACACTATAAATACCCTCTTTCACTAGAGGGTCGTGTATTATGAATTCTACACCTTCTTCCTGTACTTGCTCTCTCTTACTCCATTTCTCACTTTAGCATCAAAGTACCTTGCAGGTACACCCCCTTCTCTTCTCCAACACCGACGAACAAAAAAGCTCATGACGCATGGCTGTCTACTGATCCATTTCTGATCCGGTAAGATCAAGAGCTATTCTTCTCATTTTGTAAGTATTCTGTTTTTAGTTTTTGTTAATTTTTGTTCTCTATCTTCTTTGATAAAGAATTTCCTTAATGTAAGCTCCTCACTCTTTCAATAAACTCAAACTCCTCCCTCATTTACTATCACAAACCAAGTGCCACTTATGAGACACATTGATTTCCAATGTACATGCTAGTGATATAAGCCCTTGTTCAACATCATGACTTTTTACATAACCTCAATCTTGAAAACCACCTCACCAACTTTGCCTCTTGTCATACATCATTTCATATGGTAGTTAGTCTCAATAGCCACCATAATAATATTCTAGATAGATCTAGTATTTTCTATAGTAAGGAAAGACTTCACCTATACGGAATGAGATCTCAAGGCAACAATCACATATTGAAACAAAAAAATAAAATAAAAAATAAACCTACCGACTAAAAGATAGTAGAAAAATAGACAACACATAAAAAATAAAACCATAATGAGTTAGAATTATTATTTATCAATAATTTATACATCACAATAAATTAAACAAAATATAAAACAAATAATTTACAACCTAATAAATACCCCAAAGTCAATAGCAACAAAAACTTGAATGGAGGTTCATGTCCATCACAAAAAACTAGAGAAACCTCTCATCTCCATCCATGGCAGTAGTAGCAGCTCCCAAGAAGAACAACTCATTCAACAAGAAAGACAACCCAAATCTTCTCTTGGGTCGTTTCGAATTAGGAAAACTCCTCGGCCATGGAACCTTCGCCAAGGTCCATCTAGCCAAAAACATCAAAACTGGTGAAGCCGTAGCCATAAAGATCATAAGCAAAGACAAAATCCTTAAAAGTGGTTTGGTTTCACACATCAAACGAGAAATCTCGATTCTCCGCCGTGTCCGCCACCCCAACATCGTCCAGCTCTTCGAAGTCATGGCGACAAAGACAAAGATCTACTTCGTGATGGAATACGTACGAGGTGGAGAGCTTTTCAATAAAGTTGCTAAAGGTAGGTTGAAAGAAGAGGTTGCAAGAAAATATTTTCAACAGTTAATATGTGCGGTTGGATTTTGTCATGCTAGAGGTGTTTTTCATAGAGATATAAAGCCGGAGAATTTGTTGCTTGACGAAAATGGTAATCTTAAAGTTTCCGATTTTGGGTTAAGTGCTGTGTCGGATGAAATTAAGCAAGATGGGTTGTTTCATACTTTTTGTGGTACACCTGCTTATGTTGCTCCTGAGGTTTTGTCTAGGAAGGGTTATGATGGTGCTAAGGTTGATATTTGGTCTTGTGGTGTTGTTTTGTTTGTTTTAATGGCTGGTTATTTACCTTTTCATGATCCTAATAATGTTATGGTTATGTATAAGAAGATTTATAAAGGGGATTTTAGGTGTCCTAGATGGTTTTCTCCTGAACTTGTTAACCTTCTTAGTAGACTTCTTGATACTAAGCCTCAAACTAGGATTTCGATTCCGGAGATTATGGAGAATCGTTGGTTTAAGATAGGTTTTAAGCATATTAAGTTTTATGTTGAGGATGATGTTGTTTGTAATCTTGATTCTCTTGGTCTTGATGGTAATGATGGCAATGATGGTAATGATGGTAATGATGGTAAGAAGGTGCTAAACATCGATGAACATCGCGATGAAGTGTTGGAATCGGTATCTGAATCAGAATGGGATTCTGAGGTTGTGAATAGAAGGAAGAATCGTCAGCTTGGTTCGTTGCCAAGGCCTGCGAGTTTGAATGCTTTTGACATTATATCGTTTTCGCAAGGATTTGATCTTTCTGGATTGTTTGAGGAAAGGGGCGATGAAGCAAGGTTTGTGTCTGGTGCGTCGGTGTCAAAGATTATGACGAAATTGGAGGAAGTTGCTCAGTTGGTTAGCTTCAAAGTGAGGAAGAAAGATTGTAGGGTTAGCTTGGAGGGTTTGAGAGAAGGGGTAAAGGGGCCGTTGAGTATTGCTGCTGAGGTATTCGAGTTAACACCGTCTTTGGTTGTTGTTGAAGTGAAGAAAAAAGGAGGGGATAAAGTTGAGTATGATAGGTTTTTAAACACTGAATTGAAGCCTGCTTTGCATAGTTTAACTATGGAGGAATCTGCAGGTTCTTCATGTCAAACTACACCAGATGAAACTTTGCAACAACGCGCGTTTTCTGATTCTGCCATTGACAAACATTCGGATAGTATTGAATCTCTGAACTTAGATACCTGAAGAAGGAATGACCTATAATAAGATAAAAAGGGTATTTTATTTTCAATGTTTTTATAGGCTGTGTATTTATGGTACTTATAATTTCTGTTATTTTTTGTTTTGTTTTGTTTGTGTCTTAATGTTGTAAGATGAATGCCAATTCATTTTTAATATACTCAATAAAATAAACATGTTCTGTTTTGGCACTTTAGTTCTAGTGTGCTGCATTTTATTTGTTTTGATTCTTTTGTGCAAGTAATGGGAAAATAAGATTGCAATTTCTTGCTAACCCATTACTTGGTTATGATAGTGTGTGTGTGGTGTATATAAAACCAAATCAGGTTAAGAATTGAGATCTTTTTCTTCCACCAGCTTGTAAAGTAAAGAAAACAAAAGTTTTCTATAAAGGGCTATGTTCATGGACACGTTTGTTTCAATCATAAAATAGATTGATTGGTTGTGAAAATAATGAAAGCCTCACCCAAGCTTTCATTATCCTGACCCTACACACTTCCAAGTGGGTGACCTATTGCTGGACCATATTTCTTATTGAAGAACACACACCGTAGGTTTGGTTGAAGCATGACCCTACAAATTTACATGTGGAGCCTAGTGAGAATTGACTATATCTAGCTCAAGTGTACCTAGTATGAATAGATTCTAATAAAGAAACATTTACTTATGTTGTTTATATTTCACTTAGGTATTTTGAATCCTTAATAGACATATGTATTGAAGAAGTTGCATGCTTCATTGGGACCATGATCATGATAGCAATAGCAATAGCAATATATAATATATCAAGATTTTTTACATTTCAAGATTCATCAACAAAAGTACAAACGTCCAACACCCCACTTGCAACAAAGCTTCATCAACAAAAGTACAAATGTACAACACTCCACTTGCAGCAAAATAACTTAACACACATCCTTTGGTACACAAGAATAGCTATAGTGTTTTAATCATAAGGACTTCCAAAGGAACAAATGGAATTAAAGAAGAAAAGAATTTTCTGAGTTGCGAATACCATATAGCATTATCACAAAGCTTGGTTCAGGTTAGAGAGAGAGGCTTTGGTTTGCAAAACAGAAACTTAAGTGGCCTCTACCGACAAGATTTCGAGTTCGGCCCACCAGAGTGGAGAAAGTCTCGGGACGGCTTGCTCGGGCGATATATTAATCACTTCCCTCAATTTGCAAATTGTTTCCTTCATTGTTGGCCTTAACCTTTGATCAGATTGAACACATTCTTTTATCACATCACATATCACATCGAGTTCAGTGTCTTTGAACGACTCGAGCGTTGGATCGATCAAACAGCCGATGTTTCGCTTATCATTCAAGAACTCCGAAGCCTGACAGATTGGTAAAGATTTTTATTTATTAAGAGCCATTCAAGAATAAAATTGCACCTAGAATTCTAAGAGAGAAGCACATAGTCGAAACTTACCCAGTTCACAAGATAGCCTTGTTCTTCCGAATAAGGTAGTTTCCCAGAAATGATTTCGAGCAACATTATTCCAAAGTTATAGACATCGGTTTCAGGACCTTGTTGAGGAGGCAACTCGGATTTCTTAGATTCCTCTCCATGTGTGCTGGTAGGAAATCTATTAGTGCCAAAACTGATCTCTGAAATCTGAGAGAGCGCAATAAAACGGAGAGTTGTTATCGATCATATAACAAGATAAAAGCAAACGAAAGAGAATAGAAATGCGTATTTACCTTAGCAGCAAAGTCATCTGTTAACAATATTGAAACTGAATTAAGGTTGGAATGAGAGACTGGTGGGTTCAGATCATGGTGCATGTATTGAAGACAATACGCCGTGCCCATAATAACCCTCATCCTTGCACTCCAATCAAGATGTTCAATGTCCTTAACTGAAAAATAAAGAGACAAATCAAATGCGTCTCTCTTTATTTTACAAAGAACTCGCGTTTAATTCACTTAAATAAAAAAGTGTTACTTACCATGTAGATGCTCGTATAAGCTTCCGTTTGGAGCATACTCAAACACCATCATCCTTGTGAATGGTTCGTCTTCGTCACAGTAACCAATAAGATTGGTAAAGTTCTTATGGTTAACGCGGGATAGAGCAGCAATCTGAAAGCAAGTAAGGAAATAAATTAGCTAAACAGTTAAGTTTGAATTGAAACTCTCAGTGTTTTCATTTCCATTGACATAAGAAGGAAGAAAACCTTTCTCCTGTAGGATATCTCCATGCTCTTTGACCAATCTTCAGTAGAAGTAACAATAGTAGAATCAACGGCAATCTCGACTCCACTGGACAGTGTTCCTTTATATATGGTGCACTTCTCAAAACTGTTAATGATATTGCTGAAATCTTCACACGCTGTCTCCAACTCTGATCGGTTCAACTTTGGGACCCCTGCATTTCATATAAAGGCAGATAATAGTTAACAGGAGTTTCTAACTCAAGCGCGCATACACCTGATATTGGAGTCCGCTTATTGCAGTATTACCTGTTACAAATGCCTTTTGCAACTGTCCACTTATTCCTGTTTTCCAGGGCTTTATAGCTTTTGCAGCTCGTTTTCGCAAGACGCAAAGCATGATCGCAATAAAAATGACCAAGATAACAGCACCAGAGATAATAATAATATATTTCCAGAGTTTTCTTGGAGCGCCATTAGCTGAATTTGGTTCAGTTGTTTGAGAACCAGCAGATGAATCGAGTGGTTCAAGGGCCTGATTTTGTTTCTTATTGGCATCTGGCACAGCCGAGAAAGATCCACTACTTATGGTAACTGGAAGATAACTGATCTGTATAACGAGTTCACCGCTATAAGGTGCAGCTGCGAGGTTATTGGACTGATCAAGCAACCTACGACGTGCAGAACTGACTAGATTTGATAAATTTGAGCCAATCTCCGACTCGTCAGAACCTACATGATGTAAGGTAGGTTTTGAAAGTCAGTTAAAAGCATAATTTTCAGTTTTTCACAGCCACAAATCAATCAAGATTCTCCACTCACTAGGAAGACCGGCACAGAAACTCTCTTCATAGCCATGAGAGGTAGCCTTTCCTAGCATGAACCTTTCAAACAAGAGCAAACAGTTTAAGAATGTTGAACATAATGAAAGAACGAAAAATGTGCATATTGAGATTGAAACTAGTAAAATTTTGTCAACATACAGTGACATAGCCATGGCATTAAGATATCTTTTAAGTGCTCCTTTAATTGGAATCGCCAAAAGCTCTTCCTTGTTCCATTGCTTGAGATCTCTATACCACGCGCTGTATGCACCATGCACCAAAACAAAGAATAAATCTCGTCAACCATATAAAATACGCAACAAAAGGAAAAATGAAGTTATGCTTACCAGTGCGCAAACTTTCTATTCTTGCACTGAAACAAACTTGCCAAGGGAGATGAAAAGTCGTCGATAACTAGTGATTTAGAAGGAAGTCCCATGTTCCCGAGCTCTTGAGTGTCGCTACCTTCAAATTTGTTGTCATGAACCAACCTACCGAAAAACAAAACATCATTTAAGGTAATGCTGAGAAATCTAACATAATAGATAAGCTACTATATAGAGTTAACTTACAATTGTTTCAACAATATCCTCCCGGTTTCGGCGGGGATATTTCCAATCAAGTTATTCTCCCTCAAATCTAACAACTCCAGATTGTCTAGTTCTCCAAGTTCTTTGGGAATGCCACCAGAAAAATTGTTCTTGCGTAACAAGCTATTTCAAAATGACAAAGCGAGCATAACATGATTAGAATTGGAATGGAATATAAGTTATACTAGATTAAGTAAACAGAACGGTTCGTTTTTTAAACTCCCAATCGATTGCGAAGAAGAATCCTTACATAGATTTCAAGTGACTAAGTTTCCCAAGATGAGGAGTTAATGTCCCTTCCAATGATAGCCCATTTAAGTCCCTACAAGAAATAACAAGACAGAAAATCCTATAAGCACAAAATTTTCCTCAATCAAAATGGAAGCTTTCTTAAATCGTCAAGAGCCGCTAACATGTATTCGTCGTCGCTAAAAATAACAACACTGTCAACTGGAAAACACGAAACGGAACTTACAGCGTTTGCACTTTACCATCAACGCAACGAACACCCAACCACTTGCAAGGGTCGGAATCATTTGGATTCCAATTTCCCAGAGCACCATAAGGATCATAAGTTATTCTTACCCGAAATTCCAACAAAGCAATTCCTGCAAAATCCATTCCAATCACAAATCAAGATACAAAAATGCATTCAATCTCGTAATTCTCATTGTAAACGGTAAAAATACAAATCATGAAAAATTACCTTCGTCATTCAGCGACCAACACCGTTGAACTCCCCAGAGAGAAATCAACCCAAGACAGATTCTGATCCACAATCCAAACCGATCCCATATGCATTCCATTGCAGTAGGAAGGCAACAGCCACCGCCGCGAATTTGTATAGCTCTTTACAAGCCAAAAGCTATATGATATATGAAATCATATGTACAAAATTTGGCAGGTTTATCTGTATAGAGAAACCCTTCAGGCTTTTGAGATGAAAGCAACTAATAAACTAGGCAAAACTTGTATCCTACAACGGAAAGCAAAAACAACTTCAGGGTCTCTCATATTTCAAATTTTATCCTCCTCAAAACCTTTCCCTCAACAAACACATAACGAAGCTCAGTATCTTCTTCTCAGATGATTCCCAACAAAGTTGTTTGTTTGGTTTGAGCTGAAAAAAATAACCAACAAAAGTACAAAACCATAACAATGAAGCAACAAAGAATAACCCTATAAGCAAGCAATCCATTTTAGATTCTCGAATCAAAAACAAAAAAACTCGAAAGACTCGAAAGAATAGAATTACCGTGGCACGCAAGCACGAAAATGAATTCCTCCAAATCGGATATATCAAGAATGATGCAATGCAAGTGGATGGAGGGGAGTGGGGGATTGAGAACAACCTTGAATGAATCAAGAAAAAAGGCAGCAATTATCGTATGTAACTAATTAAACAAATAATTAATTGATGTTATTATAATAATAATAATAATAATCAATATAATTAGAGTTCTGCGCTTTTATTCTTTCTTGTAATGCTGCCTTTTTCTGTGATGATCTTAGAGGAATCTCTCTTCGATCATCTTCATCAGGTTCTCTCCTTTGTTTTTGTTTTTTCTTGTCTTTCTCCCCCTCTCTCGTTCTCTCTATCTTAGGATGTTGGGTTAGTTTTTTTTTGTTGATTTCTTTCTCTCTCATCAATACCCGCGCAAATTTTGCGGTCTAACAAAATATGTTTTCTAAATTTCGTTGTAAGTGGGTCCCGTTGTTCCGAATAACTCGGACGCGGTTTTAGTGTGATATTACCTTAAAAAAACCAATCATTAATCTTTTGCAGGGACATACTAACCGAAATGGTTTTTCGTGCTGTCACGAATGTAAAAATGTCACTAGTTAGAGACATTTCGCATTTTTTATTCCGTACTTGAAATTCAAACGGTTTGTTCAACATCCCATTTTCATCCTATGCGATCTTGTTTCTCTATTTCTAGTTCTAAATAATTTGAGTTTAAGTTTATCTTTTCCGTTTATAAATTAAAAAATCAGTTAAAAGTATTATTTTTTATAAAATAATTTCAGACTATATATTTACTTTGTTTCAAGAATTGGAATAGAATGTGGCACTAGAAATACAACAATTAGTGTTTTTTTTTTAACAAGAAGGGCCAAAAGCCCAAGGAAAAAAAATACTACAAAACCACTTTTCTAGGGGTGTAACCTCCCAATCTATCCTCTAAAAGTAATGGCTCAATAAAATTAGTAGTAGTATGTCGCTACCGCGAAAATAATGTGCCGGCAAAACAGAAGAGTCGCCACCTTTCGTTATTTATCCCACAGAAACGATCGGAAAAATCTGACGAAAAGGTATAAGACAAGGTCATCGCAACCAATGTCTGGATTCGGGAGTCGGTTACGTAAGGGGAAGATATTAACACTCATCACGTCCATCGTACTCGATGGGATCCACACTTGTTGTGTTTATCTGACGGGTTGTTTATCTATCTAGCTAAAAGTCCGGTCTGAAAAGAAAAGAAAATGACCCGGCAGAACACAGTAGTTCTATGCCTACGTATTCCCGTCTAAAACGAGAAATCAGAGTCTACGTAGTTCGCCTAACTACGGGTTACGGGGAAGGTTGCTCGCCGAGATATCGCATCTCGTGCCTACGTACTTTCACACGGCGTGAAAGATCAGAGCAAACGTAGTTCGGGACAACGAGAGACACATGTTGGTCTTTTTTATCCGAGTAGGGTTAACAGACGGTTCCAGCAGTTGGTGTATGCAGCTCACTCGACGGAGACTTAGGCGTTTACCATTTGCGGTAGAACCGGGAGTTAACAGAACTCTTCTTATGAAAATGGTTTCCAAGGATTAAAGGTCTCGGAGGACAAAAAGAGTTAGATCTTTGTTTTCTGTCTTTTAGAAGAAGTGTTTTTTTTTGTGGATGTTTGCAACTAACATCGCACTAGAGACTATGGCCTGAGAGTGAATGTGTCACATGTCACCCAAAGGGTGCCATACTAAACATCCAAGTTGTTGAAAAGAAACTCTCCAACAACCCTTTCTCAAGTAGCTTAAGGCTCGCAGCGTACGACATCAATTAACCTTTATTACTATATTTTGATTTGTTTGAAGATGAGAAGAGAAAGGACGCACTAAATGGGACTAATTCAATCCTAAAGTTGTCATGCAAAGTTGATCCTATGATTGAGGTTAGGAGGGAACTACCTAATGTTATCATGCATGGTTAGAACCCTAATGTCTGTCATAACTTCTCTTGAACAAGAGAAGCCAGAGTTCCTAGGGGAACATGGCAAAGGAAAGCAACAGCAAAAGAAATAACTGTAAGTAAAATGCATGCAATGCAGCAATACAAGCAGAAGGAGCCAAACTCAACTTCTAGAGCAAGCAAGTCAGAGGCATCACACAACACAGGAAAGGGAGACAGACTCAACCTTAAGCCAGCAAGCAAAGCCAGACAATAACAGACAAGCAGAGGGAGACAGACTCAACCTCTAATGCAGACAAGCAAAGGCCTCAACCTTTCCATGCACTTAGGCCTAAATCAATTATATGAAAGCCTATTCTAATGCAACACACAGTCACACAAATACAATCAATCAACAAACACAGTAGACAAAATAGCAAACCAGCAACTCAGCAGCAAAGCAGTCTAACAGCAAAACAATCCAACAGTCTGTAGTCAACTTCAAGTCTAAGCTATCTTCAAGAGAAGGAAATGAAAGCTCCATTTTCAAACTTCAACAAGCTCCAACAAAAGAGAATAGAGTTAACATCAAGATTATTGCATGATGATGGAAAGCATGATGGAAACCAAGGGAATCCATCATGACACTCAACCATGCATCTAAGATAGATATCCTCAAAGGTTCTACCTCTTGTGATATGCCACACTTCCTTCCAAAGGAAGGATGAGGCTTCCACATAGGGACCTTGAATCATTGGATGAGGATGGAAAGCAATCAAGGCAATCCATGTTTATTTGAAGAAAGGGAAATCAAAACTAAAGCTCTTCCTACCCTAATTGATTAAGCTACAAGAAAGCTACTAAAAAAACACCAAACACCACAATCAAGCAAACAAAAGCCTCTATATGTCTAAAGCACTATCCAAAAGGAATGGAAAATTTATCTTATGCTATGGGCCACCATTGAGGTCATTCTAAAGGAGAAGTCATGTTAGAAGCAACATAAAACTAGCCTAAGTTTTAAATCTATTTAAAATACCAAAACTACTTCTAAACTCCTATAAAATTTTCTAAGGGAACCTACATGTGTTAGGTATCGATAGTAAAAGGACCAGAGCCTAAATCTATTCTTAAAGGCACTAAAGAAATCCTAAATCACAAAGTGTCAAATGGAAACCCTAAAAGGGAAGGTCATGGGAACCTAATCCAAAACAGACCCTAAAGTTATCTAAAAAAAGAAATAATTCCTAAGGGATCATACATATCTATACTAATAGCCAACCAAAAATCTCACTTAAATTCTATACCAATTGATCATACAAAAATCAGCAAAAACAATGAGAAAATGTGCTAAAATTAAAGAAATAACAAAAATGGAAAAATACCAAATAAATGGAAAATTGCTCAAAAATAACATCCAAGCATACCAAAAAATCAGAAATAAAATGATGAGCATCCACATATTTTTGTTTGATTTTTCTGGTCAAAATTGAATTTATTATGAATTAAAAATGGAAAAAGCAATTAAAATAAATCAAAATGAAATAAAGAAATTAAAATGCTGAGGAAATAATGAGAAGCGTTGGATCTATTGACTGGGTATTCATATCTGAGGCTCACAAGCGTGCCACCTAAGCTGCCAAGTCAGCTTTAATGAAACGCAGCGTTTGTTGCAGTCAAAGGTCCAAAGTCTAAAATTAAATCGCGTGCGTTGGATTGAAATACTAAGTCAAATATTGAAGCAGATCCAAGGGCTGATGGTTATCTTCTTCGTTTAAACCTCAGATGGAGGGAAATTACTCAGGCGAACCAGACGGTGGTCCGGTGGCCGCGCCACCGTCTTCTCCGGTGAGCTACCAGTTACAGGTCAAGGAAACAAGGCAAACCTTATATGGATCTTCTCCATTTTTCATCCTGAATCCAAATCCATCATCCTTTTCTCATAAATCTCACTGGATTTTAAAACCTGGTCAAAATCCTAAAATATGTCATCTGATCAAACATCACCAAATCTCAATCTCTTGCTACAGATCTACTCCTCATCCATCATAGATTAACCTAAGCTATCTAGATCATGCTAATACTCCAAGATCAAGCAGTTACAAGTCTCAACAGCAATGGTGTCACATCTTGAATCATCATCAAACTCTATAATTCCTATCCTAAAACGTTCCAGGCATCTTCCTAATGCTTAACCTCATTTCAATTTCAACTAAATCAACCTATAATCAGTGCAATCGTGAAAAGTGCATACCTGGTTTGTAGCTTAGAAGTGAGGCACTTGCACTATGATTCTCACTCCAATCTTGTGCAGATTTCTTCAATGATCAATGGTAAAGCTATTAGGAACCTCAATTTGCTTTGAAATGCTCCCAATCTGAAAACACGATTTGCACCTTTGCTCTTGAAACTCTCTCTGCAATCTCTGGCTCCAACTCAAAATAACCACCAACCTTGATCCTAACCTCTTTCTGAACTTATATAGAGTGGATTTGGATGATTTGGAGGCCCATTGGAGGCCCAAACAATGAGATCAAACTTTCACATTTCTCTTCAAAATCCAACTATGGTGTACACGAGTTCTGGATGTTTCATCCTTCTAGAAGCTTCATCTGACCTCCTTGTGACCTGGTGAGAGTGTAGGGATCA